CGGAGGAGAAATCGGACCTGGACTTGAACACGAAGAAGAAGACGCGAAGCATGCTTGAATTCTACTCCAATTTACAGGATTATTACTCAGAGATCGAGGAGGGGGACCGCGTGAAGCGGAAGAGGTCGCGGGCGATGGCGGCCGAGGTCGCGGTGGCAACCGTGGATAACGCCCTTGAGGAAAAACCCATCAAGGGGAGCGCCGGAGTCGGGTCGGGTCATCAACAACGGCGGTTGTGGGTGAAGGACCGGTCGAAAGCCTGGTGGGACGAGTGCATCAGCCCAGATTTCCCAGAGGAAGAATTCAAGAAAGCATTCAGAATGGGGAAATCAACATTCGAAATGATTTGCGAAGAATTGAATTCTGTAATCGCCAAAGAAGACACAGCATTACGAAATGCGATTCCGGTGAAACAGAGGGTCGCCGTCTGCATATGGCGGTTAGCCACCGGAGAGCCACTGAGGCTCGTTTCAAAGCGTTTCGGATTGGGGATTTCAACCTGCCATAAATTGGTGCTCGAAGTGTGTACGGCAATAAGAACGGTGTTGATGCCGAAGTACTTACAGTGGCCGGAAGAATATGATCTGAGGAAGATAAAAGACGAATTCGAATCGATTTCGGGAATTCCCAATGTCGTCGGCTCAATGTACACCACACACATACCCATCATCGCTCCGAAGATCAGTGTAGCAGCTTATTTCAACAAGAGACACACAGAGAGGAATCAGAAAACATCTTACTCGATTACAGTACAAGGTGTCGTCGATCCGAATGGGGTTTTCACCGACGTCTGTATAGGGTGGCCGGGATCCATGAACGATGATCAGGTATTGGAGAAATCTGCTCTGTATCAGAGAGCAAACAGCGGTCTTTTAAACGGTGTTTGGATCGTGGGAAATTCAGGGTATCCATTAATGGATTGGGTTCTGGTTCCTTACACACAGCAAAACTTGACATGGACACAACACGCATTCAACGAGAAGATTGGAGAAATCCAGAGAGTGGCAAAGGATGCCTTTGCACGGCTGAAGGGGCGGTGGAGCTGCCTGCAGAAGAGAACAGAGGTGAAGCTGCAGGACTTGCCGGTGGTTCTAGGGGCATGCTGTGTTTTACATAACATATGTGAAATAAGGAATGAGGACATGGATCCGAAGCTGAATATTGAGCTTATGGATGATGAAATGGTGCCGGAAATCGCCCTGAGATCTGCAGGCTCAATGAAAGCTAGAGATGCCATTGCTCACAATCTTCTGCACCATGGTTTAGCAGGAACTGCTTTTCTGTAGTTTGAATTGTTTCTTTCTTGTGTATCGAAATTCTTTTTGCTTGAAGGGATTGTATAAATGATTTATTTGAACCCTTCACCAAATGGATTATTGATTTCAGTAGATTAAGTTAGATACCTGTGGCTCAAAGGAAGATGGAGATGTATCTTCTCATGTTTCAATAGCCTGAATTATGAAATAACACATTTGAATTGTCTAGAGAAATTTAATGTGATTCTAAGTTTGAAGTTTCTTACGAATTAGGACCATTCTAACTTAAACTCGTTAGAAGAGTATTCCCAAGTTAAAACACGTTGGGAATCTCAAGTTCATACCAGCTAAGTATTCCAAGTTAAAACACGTTGGGAATCTTAAGTTCATACCAGCTAAGATACCCACCCTTTAATCGTATCTTAATAATAAGTACTAAGAATTATATTTCGGTGCAATAATTGGAGGAGAGGTGGTGGTGGTGGACAAATCATTTTCAAACTGATTTCATTTCTTTTTAACTATTCCATTGATTTGATCCAAAGTTGATTCCGATTAAGCTAATTGATAAGGATGCAATTCCATTGCCCTTTTCTATTCAGTTACCATGACACTTAAAATAATGAATGAATCAATTTTTTGCGAGCCCCCCCTAAGCAGGTACACAATATACAATTATATTTGCTCTAATGTTGACAAAAGCTCCGAGCTTCCTAGGAAACTTCGGAGGAGGAAGACAGGAGCTCTGTTTGCCTAAATAAAAATGATTAATGTAGTTGTGCTAAGTTGAATTTGTGTTTAGATTCTGTCAGGTTTTACATTATATATAAATGAATTCCCATCCTCATCTCCAGCCCTCAGAGGTGTCTTCTTGCAAACAAATAAATTACTACGAGGTTTTTATGATAAATAAATGGTCGGATGATGTCTCTATATTGCCGCAGAACACAGAACGTTGATAATGAAAATGACACTTCAATGTCCTTGTTTATTGGCAGTGAAAGGTCAGCTTATGGTGTGATCTGTCTACTGCAAGAAAAATACCGGCATTCTCATGTGATCTGTCCACTGCATTTTCTCACCCGTATTGCAATTAGAGTACTTCAGAATAAGTTAAACAAAGAAACTAAATCTTTTTAGTATGTCATGAATTATAATCAAATTGATGAAGAATCTGAGGATACTTACAAATGAATTTGTTATTGAGGATGAAAGAACCATACTGATATTCATTTCCATGCAGCCATGTTTGGAGACGGGCTAGAATTTCTTTCTGCCCTGCTCTTGTCCACAATGATTTCCACAGGCAGTTGGGAACAGATTTACATTACTCAAGATGGGTATGGATGCGTGGTACAATGTATCCAGGGCGAATCAGGTTAATGATCATCCTAACCATGTATCTTTGGTCAGTGTGGGAACACAAACCTGTTGGTCCTCAAGATGAGACCCTAGACGGAGAGGGAAATGTGCAACTTGGATCCTCAAGACAGTGGACTCAGGTTTCTTATCATCAAATTTATATCCCACAAAAAGGCCAGTATCACCAACCAATGAAAGCTGCTCTTCTGATAGATCAGCTTGACAGCGTGTATGCTGGACTTTATCACATTGCTTTCCTATTTTCACGCTAAAATTATCCTTAACAAAATTTTCAAACTAATAAAAGCAATTACCATATTCTGGTCAGATGATAAAAGTAATAATTTCAACTGCAAATTTAACATAAACATAAGTACAATAGTGCAAAAATTAACATAAATTTGTGAATACTTTACCTTGAAGAGCATCCATGGCAGTCAATGAATTCCACAAAGCAGAAAACCATAGCTCTATCTCCACTCTGCAATTTAGGTGTTAAGCAACACAAAGGCAAAGCATCTGAGCAGAATTAGGTAGGGGGGGTTATCATAGTAGTAAATATATGAACATCCCATTTCAATAAAGGCAATTGAATTGACATATCAGAGTTCTTTTATTTGGCTAAACAATGAATTTCATGACACAGCAGAGTTGGTTGCAACTGTTTTGCTTAAAGGTAACTAAAAATTGGACAAGCAGTGAACTTTCATGTCTCGGTTCCTTGTGTACAACTTTAATATCTTTGTAGCCAACAAATGGACGGAAGATATCTTTTGATGTAAAGTGAAGGATTAAATTCACGGGAAACGAAAATTATTAATGAAAATAAGAGCATCCAGTTTCCGTTTACATGGTATCATGAGGTAAAATGTCTTTCCTTTCATAGATCAAATTTTCATTTACTAGCACTAGCAGTGAATAAGAGGCCCTCAGCTGGAATTCCAGTAAAACAGAAAAGAAAAGAGAAAGAAAGGGTTTTCTAAAAATGTTGTTGATGCACACATTTCTTGAAAGGATACTACCAACTTCTCTTCTGGTCCAGTCTGTTGGAAGCCCATCAACAAAGAGAGTATTTGATTGTCCACCAGCAGCCAAGGGACCATCAACATTTTTCACAGAGCTAGACCTTTCATTAGTTATGTCAGGAAGAACTGGATTGATGCCTGCTGAAGCATCTTTTCTACGCCCTACTAAATTTGTATCTTCTAGAGGAGAATAACTTCTTATACTAGCTGCAGCTGATACACCAGCAAGACTAGGTTCAGGATGGCCTCCAGAACTTGGAATACTACCCAAACCATATCCCCCAGGCTGCCATTTATGTTCAAAAGGAGAATACCCTCTTACACTAGCTGCAGCTGATACACCAACATTAGGGTCAGAATGACTCAAAACCCCATTACAAGAAACAAGTGAAAGTTAGTTACCAAAATAACCAATATTATAGTTACGGAGTTAACTGTAGGCAAAGTTCTAATATCTTCATTTAGAACACCAGAAGAAGCACCCTGCATATCAGCAGAGCTTGGACCAAAATGAGATGCTAACAAGGGTCCTTGAGAAGGCAAGTAGGCCGGGAAGCCTGGCCTTGAAGCATTGCCTGTCACAATGAAGGGCCAGGAATCAAGAAAGTTCCATTAAACCAATTTTAATAGAGAACATGGAAAGCGCAATAACCAAAACAATGATGACATTCAATATTAAAAGATTCAAAAGCAAGAAAGTCTCCCTTCCTATCTATCCTATGCCACCTATGCCGTGCATTATCAAGCAAAACTTGATGCTCCTCCCCAAAATACCTTCTAAAACTAAAAGACGCATAATTGGATAATTCAAATCACCCACTTCATGATAACAGTTAATTAGACTCGGGGACTATTTCATCTAATCTAACATTGATTATTATTATTATTATTATTATTATTAATCTTATTCATTGAATTAAATGAAACCGCTAACTGCTAATGCTAAGTGCAAACCGTTATCCCAAACAGCAGTTCAAAGCTCTCAAACAAAGTGAATTAAGGGGAAAGCAGAAGCGCGGCGCTGCTGCCTCCGGAAACCCAGTTGCAGAATTCACTCTCACAAACAAATAAACAATAATGCAAAAGATATGGAAACGCAATTCATTCATTCAAACCGAGATGCTACAAATATTGGAAAATAAATTTTTCTGGAGACTCAATCACTGAACTTTTTCGGGAAGGTGGAATTGTAATCAGAGGGGAGAACAAGTACCTCCGTCGACAGTCGAACCATATTTAGAACAAGGATCCACCATGGTTTCTGTAACTTCTTCGGCTCTCTCCTTCATGAACCCGGAACACCATTACGGCTGCAACGCAAGCTCCATTGCTAAAAAAGTAGAGATTCACAATTTGGGTCGTAAAGGCCTACATGGACCCGGACCAGATCCAACTTTCCCCTTTTGCAAACTAACCCACTCCCTTCCAGGACCGAACTAGAAATCTAGAACCCACCAGTTATGAAACAAGACCAGCCAGAACTGGCCCGTTGACCATGTCCGACTTCCAGCTCAGTTTGACTGACTTACTTAAGTTTCTCCTTAAAAAATTTATTTAAATATAAAGATTAGTGTTTATCCATTATAATCACAAAATAATTAGATAAAATAATATTTTTAAGTTACTTTATTAAGTTTAGTTGATGTTTATTAAAATAATATAATTTTAAAATCTTTTTTATTTAATCTTATACAAGTTGAATGGATAAACATTTTTCAATTAATATATAATCATTAAGAAAAAAATTAATATATTTTAATACAAAAAATATTAAAATATTTAATTTAACAAAATTATAATTTATACTATATTTTACAATTATAATTATATATTTTAATATTATATATATTTTTAAATATAAAAAGTAAAACTCGAATCCTACACTTTTAAACTTACATAAGATTAGAATTGATCGAATCACTATACCATTAAGATGTCCTTTTTTAAATATATGTTTCTATGCATTTAGATTTTATGGCTCAATAATTATAAGTTGTCTTATAAAATACATTCCTTCATTTCAAAGATTAAAATTTGAATCATACACCTCCAAAATTATAAACTTGCTGAAAAATATATATATGTTTCCATATTTTCTTTTCCTATCATCTATCATTACCGTACAATTTAAAACACAACAACATTTAAAAATAAAAATAAAAAAGAAAGCTGTTCAAAAAAATAAAAATAGAAAAGAAAGAAAACACTCAAATGTTTGTTTGGACTACGAAAAGCAAACCACATGCTTTGTCCGGAACCACAAGTCCCACTTAAGTAGTACATATTTATTTCAAAATGGTACACCCTTTTTTTTTTGTCGTTTTCTGAACAGATCTCAAGAACACCAACACACACCAAATCTAACAGCTGTCTGAAAAAGCCATGTTCCTCAACGCCCGCTTCCACAATAAGCATCGAACGCTCTCCACAAAATCGCGGATTTTAATCCGCTTACGTCCATTTAAAATGCGCCACGTAATCGTGATGGAAGGGTGCAAAAGACTTGTGTTGCAGTGGATTGGTTGGTCTTTTACTAGGATGCGGCCCAAAACATGGGATGTATGGGTATGAGTGCGGCATCAGTCAACAGCTAGATTTCACTTCGTAAATTTTATTTATTTATTTATTTATTTTTGAACAAATTATCAAGTAAATTTTATTTATTTATTTATTTATTTTTAAATAAATTATCAAAAAACGAACTCGAAATCTACCCATAAAAAAGAAAAGAACACACCTCAAGATGGTAAAGTACTAATTGAGCCGAAGGGTCAAATACCGTAAATTTTATTTATTTATTTGTTTATTTATTTATTTTGTTATGCACGCCTTGAATAAGGAATGCTTCCGTCTAAGCAAGAGTTGTCCCAAGCTTTTTATTACCGACTTGATTAATCAATCAATTCCCATCGGCATCAAGTTGATGATCAATCACGGTCCACAACACCAAATCTTAATCAATTAATTAATTAATTAATAAGCCAAAAGCTCTTATTTTTGGGTAGATTTGGAGGTGCCATCCCAAAAATTTTACATTCCATTTGATTTTGATGTGGTACATCAAACTAATTAATCAAATTTTAACACAAAAAATAAAAATAATTACAATAATAAAGTTCGTTCTTTTCCACTTGGTAAAACCCTATGTTAAGGTTTTAAATTTATTTTAGATTTTTTATTAAACTTTTAAATTTTTATTTAAATAAATAAATTTTTGAATTTAGTGATTTAAACAATTTAATTCATATTTTTTACGACATATTTAATATCTATTTGTATTTTTCTTATGTAGACAAAATCAAAACCCATAATGTAAGCAATAACATTTCAATATCTTATCCATGCACATGAAGCAAAAATAGGTATTAAATTCATTGTAAAGAAATAGAATTAAATCGTTTAAATAATCAAATTTTAGGATTTATCTACTTTAATAAAACCTCAAGAGTTTAATTGAAAATTTAAAATGAATTCCGAAGCTTAGCATAGGGTTTTGCCTTTTCACTCACTTGACACAAATAGAATTAGTGTGTATAAGTTCTAAAATTAGTATGTTGTCAAACTACTAATAAGATAAAAGTGTATATGGTATATATATATAATGACACTATCAACGTGATACTATGACTAAAACTTCATCTCTTTAAAGTTTAAATTTAAACTTTGTTATATAAAAGAATACAAAACATTTAATATAAGATATTAAGTTCTTAACCATTAAAAAATCCCTATTATGCCACGAAGGGTCAATTGTCTTTCATTTAAATGTTCATCGTATGTTTAGATGTTGGATAAATGTTCTACATTTTTTCAAGTTCTTCCATCAACTTCAGTTGATTTCCAGAACAGCTACATGTTTTTTTCCTTGTTTGTTGCTGTATCAATATAAAGACTTCATATCAAACATCAGCAATAAGAAAAAAATGGATAGCTCACAAACACAGAATCTTGAATAAAGCATACTTTAGCCAAAGTTTTCTACATTTTCCTCTTGAAGTTTGACCGTAATTATATTTATTTCTTAAAAGTTTGATCCACTTCTTCACATTGACCTTTCCCTTCTATGCACTAAATTTTATAATTGCCGACTTTTTATATATTTTTTATTTTATGATATTGATATATTTTAGTTTTAATTTTTAAAATAATTGAAATTTTAATTTATATCTGTAAATTAAAATCTCATAATATTAAATGTTAATATCTAAAATTAAAAATCGATTATATATTATAATATATAATCGATTTTTAATTTTAGAATATATAATCGATTTTTAATTTTAGATATCAACATTTAATAAAATGGTTTTTTAAATTTTGAATTGAGTTTTAATTAAATAAAATGATGTAATTTAAGGTTGAGATTCTAATTTATTTCAGGAATTGAGACTAGTATGCACTTTTTTCTTATTTTATTTTACAATTTTGTCTTTGAGTGTAATTATTGTAATTTTTTTATGCTAATTAGTATTAAAAATATAAAAATTAACATTAATTTGAATACTAACATCACATGAATAATTTTAATTGAATAATTAATTAAATAAAAATTAAATTAAAATTTCTAATATTAATTAATTTTAAAAAATGCAATAATTATGTCATAAAAACCCTTTGTCTTTTATGTGATATCAAACCACTACTAAATGAATGCCAATTTAAGCATGTCAAAA